GACTGTTTTTGCAATTCCGGTATTACCGAAACCGGTAAAACGGTAAACGGTAAACCGGTTACCGTACCGTTTAGCAGCCCTAGTATTAGGAACATGTGAGATTACAAGAGTGGTAGACCTTATTGATCATGAACATAGAGCTTGGAAAAGACCAATCCTTTTACACTACTTTAATCCAATTAATAAAGTTAGAATTGAAGGGATTTCAATCCCCCGTCAACCAACAGAAGATGCACAAGTAGGAAAAAATCCAAAACTACCACTGTTTAATTTTTTTTTACAAAACTATCACTCAAACCGAAAAAATTCCAAATCCACCACCCTTAATTTAAAACCGCACCATGGAGGGGCTGTTATAGAGAAAACCGCAATGCAAAGGGGCGGTTTCTCATAGAACCGCATGATGAGGCAACGGTTTCTTTTATTTGGGAAAAATGCTCTTGGAAGAAGCGGTTACCATGGCTTCCCTAGCACAAACCGCATGCTCGGGGTGCGATTCTTCGTTGGCAAAAGAAACCACCCCTCAAGCAAGCGGTTTATTAGGGCCTAATGGGATCCAATCTTGCCCTTCTTAGAAAGGGCAAGATGACGTCGTTCCATGCGAGCACATTCGTCGTACCCCTATAGCGGACTATATGGTATGCATCCTAGCGAAAAATTTAACTTTCACTATAAGTTTATGATTTATACATATATAAATCTATTATAACAAACAATATCAATTAATGAAATCAAGGTTTTTTTCCAAGAAATATACATAATTTAAAAATAAACATATTAAGTATACTAAAACAATTAACTAAAATGAATACCATTTTCAAAATTTAAATAAACTAATTTTGTACACATACACATAAAATCAAATATATTATTTTGTACTTCGTATTGATTGTTCTCAATAATGTAAAGCAATACAAGTACACTCGTAAGACTCTTAGGAGATGTATACATCTACTTAGAAACACAACTTTTTTGACAGAAAAAAGGGAGGACCCGAGGATCGCTTAGAACCCGATTTTCCCAGGAAATGGGAGGATCATGATGATCGCTTAAGAACTCATTTTCTTAGGCATGCATTTCTTTATAAGGAGTCTAATTAAGTGACACATTGTATTGATTTAAATTATTGACAATAATCAATATGATTAACGATTAACAAATTAATTTTACAAACCACTAAATTACGTTAACAAAATAAAAAATGGCAAGTGATGATGAATAATATGTACCTTGTGGTCATTCCAAACATTCCTTGAACGATGATTATCTTGGTCGTATAACACAGTCGGATCAATCAGTCCTTGATCAACATAATATCTTTGATTGTAGATATCAACATCCTCACCAACCTACGATAGCATAACAACAACATAAATCAATTAGTATATAGATTAAATAAAAGCATTACAACACCAACAAATTTTAGGTAAAATGAGTACGTACCGCTTGATAGTCATCATAGTAAATACCCTCTTCTTCGAAAAAATCGGCCATTTTTTCAGTAAACGGACAAAGACCGCCCTCTTCTTCATAATTTTCCCCCAACAAAAACCGCCCTCCAAGCACACGGGTTCCTTTTTTCCAGACTCAAACCGCGCCCCCGAGAGGCGGTTTTCAGTGGAGACGCGAACCGCTTAGTTGGCAGGCGGTCTCGCCGTTGGATTGCCCCCTTATCCAACGGTTACCAAAAACGCCGCCTTGGGAAGTTGTTTGTGGTCTTCCCCAAGAGAAATCGCCCCTTTGCAGTGCGATTTTCTCTATAACTGCCCCTCCGTGGTGCGGTGTTTAATTAAGGGTGATAGATTTGAAATTTTTTCAGTTTGGGTGGTGGTTTTGTAATTTTTTTAAAACAGTTGTAATTTTGGACTTTTTCCGCACAAGTATGGAGTTATGAAAAACAAGTCTCTACTATGTAAAAACGACATACAAACTAATATGCAAAGAGCTGACAAACACCTAGGCTAATAGAGAGGAACCAGATGGTGCATAAAATGAGGAATCATAGGAAATATAAGGAGTTGTGGAGGCTTATGATGTGATGAATTGAAACGAATGTGGAAACTGGTCTTCCCTTAAAAGGTGGAATTATTCCTGTGGCGGGTCATGCATAACATACTACCAACAGGAAAGAATTTAGAAGGGTTGAAAGAAGGATGTCACTACGAAATGTCCTTTCTGTAATCTAGAAGAGACACAACAACATATCTCCAGGGAAGGCCAATGGGAAATCAGAGTCTGGAGACCCACTGTTTTCAAACCATTGTCTGAAATGGAGCCTAACATAACACAGGGAAGCTAGATTTGTGAAGTGATGGAGAATGTTGATGATGAAACTATGAGTCAATTTGGGATGATCCTATGGGCGATTTGGAACAAGCGTAACATCAAGATGCTTAACAACGAAAAATATGAAGAATGAGAGATTGTTGGCAAAGCTTTAGACTACTGGGAAGAATTCAACTCATATCACACAAAAGAGAAGCTAGAAAGACAAGTGAAAGCTCGTACCTAGGAACCACCACCGATAGGATGGATCAAAATGAACGTGGACGCGACTATGATGAAAGGCGAAGGAACTGGCTTCGGGGTGGCGGTTCGCGACGAGAACGAGGACTTCCTGCTCGATGCAGTCCATCGGGAAATGACCATTTGTCCATCGAAGCTGGTAGAAATCAAGACGATTGCATTCGGCCTCCAACAAGCAGTGATGCACGACTTCCATTCCGTTATCGTCGAGACGGATTGTTAGGTCGCATTTCTCGCTTTGCAGAGGATGAGCAAACAAGAATGGAAGTCAAACCGATTCTTCAGGAACTCAAATAGGAGGCGAAGATTTTGGGATCACTATTGTGGCATTTTGCCAAACGGGAGTGTAATGGAGCAGCACATGTGATGGCCCATATAAAGTAGGAAACCCAGGAGTTTTGATTTTTATAGACCACCGATTTTTCTCCGTCCCAGTTTGAATAAGAAACCCATAATGCATTAATTGTTTAATACATTATAGATGTTACTATAATAATAAAAATATATAATTTTTTTTTTCTGAAATAGTTGAGTTCGAATTATTAGAATATTTTCTTGTTCAATTTATATCCCTAATTATTTGTGTTTGTTCTTTTTACAATTGGGAAAAGAGTAGAAAGAATGCTACTCTTATATAGTGACATAATTTTTTCAAAACTACACAATCATACTTATCAAACAATGTAATGTAGAACCCACTAAATTTTTTAATATATACATCATTATATACTTATATTCATCCCAATTCATATATTTAGCATCAAGATTTATTAGACGACAAAATTTACCAAGGGTAAATAAAAGGCAAAATACACTTGTGTAGTCAACACTTTGACGGTTTAGCCAATAATAGCCACTTTTGACTAAATACCAAAAATAGCCACTTCAGTCCAATTATTTAACGGTGTCATCTAACATGCTAATTGTACTAACGAAAAAGCCGACTTGTCAACTTTTTGGTCAATATCAATATGAGGTGGAATTAATTCAAAAAATAAAGATAATTTATTAAACATTTCTTTTATTTACTCTCTGCCGCCCCCCCCCCCCTTCCGTTCCCCCAGGCCCAGCCGCCGCTCATCTCATTGCGGTCTCCCTCTCTCCACCGAAAATCTCCCCTCGACGGCAGTGGTGAGTACGAAACATAGGGAGAATTAAGACACGACTTAATTAGCCTTCTTCAGCACGCCGCCATTGCTTTTCGGCGGCACCGACCCGTTGTCGATGTCACTGTTTGTGTAGTCCACGGCGCCGATGATGGGAGGGATGTTTCATCTTTCTCATCCGCGATCGAGATTCCTCTCTTCCATCACCAACTGAATATCCTCACCGGAGCCAGAGTTTTGAAGTAGGGACGAGCTGCCAATGAAAAATCCCTCTACAAAAAGTGCCAAATCAAAAACTCAATTCCAACCCTAGAATCTCCCCCTATTGAATCGATGTCGTTGTTGGTCCTCTCCTCTAACCATCTTTGCATCAGGGTGCAGGGGAGGTGGTGACCGAACGATGGGGAAAGGCAACAGTTCCTCGGTCAAAGCGAAGATGTTGATATGGAGCAGTGATGGGAGCCGGTGGCGTCGGCGAATTCCAAATTGGGGTATGGATCGAAAACGATAGCGGCGCTTACTTGGGTCTCGTTTTTGCTTCTGTTTGCTGTCATTAAAGTTGGTTTGGGAGTATGAGAGGAGCTAATGGTGGTTACCGACAATGGCGTGTGTCCGCATATCTTCATAGGGGTCTTGATTGGGAACGTCGATTGAGAAGAGGTGAAGGCATATTGGGATTCTCTGGAGTCACTTCTCCTCGGTGACGGGTGATTGCATTTGGATTTTGGGTTTTTGCTAGATCAGAGATGGGGATTTGCTAAATGCCTAAATCAGAGATGGGGTTGAAAGGAAGGGGGGAGAGAGAGCCCCAATTAGTCGAACCCCAGAAAGATGGAGATTGGAGATTGGAGAAGAGGAAAAGAATGGGTGAGTGGGGAAAATAGAATTTTTTTTATTTCAATTTTTTTATAATTAAATAATGAAGATAAATAACTGCAGAAGAATAACATTAATTATTTTATTTCTTTAATTATTTTATTTCTTTAATTTTAATTAAAATAACTCGTGGCAATTACATGGCACCAACAGCTGAGTTGTCGTTAACATGTGCAATGGCTTGGCATCCTAGTCAGCCTAACGTTAACCTATCTGACAGAGTTTCTAACACCGTTAAAGTTTGTAACGGAAATAGCTATATTTGTTATCAAACTTTTAAAAATTTGGCTATTTTTGGTATTTCGCTAGAAGTGGCTATTATTGTCACAAACGTCAAAGTTTTGACTACAGATGAATTTTGCCTAAATATAACTATTGTATTTGCTGCCGTGTTACCCTTTGTATTTTTTTTCTTTTTGTTATTTACTTCGTCCTTAGCTCGAGATTCTTGTCCCACCCACTTGTCTTTTTGTTTCCGACTAGTACCCACAGTTTTTGTTGCCAGTGCCATGCATTTCTCAAGAAACACACAAAAAGAGCGCAGCCCCATTGATTCTCCTACATCTCTACTCCCCATCTAGAACATCATCAGGAACAAAAAATTAAAAAAACAGTGGTTAAAAAGAAAAGATTCGAAACAGTGATTGCAGTCCCCAAGAGAGAGAAGAGAGATATCACTTTTATACACTTGCCATTAATCGGTAACAACTACCAACCCGGCCGATCTCTACTTCCCTGCCAATATATATACCTATCGACCCCTCTTCAAAGGTCGACGAACTCTCTGCCATCTCACATTTCCATTTTCTCTTCCGCCGCCGGAACAAGAAGAAAAAACAGAGCAGGGAAATGGCGAATGGTGCTGAAATCATGGTGCAGAAGAAAGATGGAGGAGAGGAAGAGAATATGGCCGCTTGGCTTCTCGGTGTCCAAACCCTCAGGATTCAGCCTTACCAGCTCCCTCCCCTCGGTAAAGTTGTCTCCTTTTAACCCAGTTCTCTTAAGCCCTCGAGTTCTTTTCCAAATCGAAGATTAATCTGGGGCGTTTCGTGAAAACTGGCTGGGTATTTCGTAGTTCAAAAGGCATTCCTCTATGCCGATTCCATCCTCAAATTTTGTGACTGGAATGTTGAACCCAAAATGAAGAGAGAAAAGTTTGATAATGACCCTTTGTCTCATCATGGATTTGCCGGTCCTTAACCTTTTGCTCCATCTATTCGTCTCTGCCTCTTTGTAGGTCCTCATGATGTCAAAGTTAGCATAAAGGCGCTTGGCATTTGTGGAAGTGATGTTCATCACTTCAAGGTGACAAACAAAATCAAAAACCCACTTGGCTTCTTGCCTCTTGGTCTCTTCCTGTTAAACCCCTCAAGAAGTTGAACTGTTTCGTTCTGTCTTGATGTTGTTGTGTGCTCTGTTTTGAACAGACGATGAGATGCGCTAATTTCATAGTGAAGAAGCCAATGGTTATTGGCCACGAATGTGCTGGGATCATCGAAGCCATTGGGAGTGAAGTGAAGAACCTTGCTCCTGGCGACCGTGTGGCCTTGGAGCCTGGGATCAGCTGCTCAAGATGTAACCTCTGCAAGAATGGCCGCTACAACTTGTGTCGTGAGATGAGGTTCTTTGGTTCTCCACCAACCAACGGCTCTCTTGCCAACAAGGTGAAAACACACTCCTCCTTGCTTCTGCTAGAACTCTTTTGCTATTGGGGGATACTAATCAGGTTCCTGCTGCAATAGGTTGTGCACCCGGCGAGCCTATGCTACAAGCTGCCCGAGAACGTGAGCTTGGAGGAAGGAGCAATGTGCGAGCCCCTCAGCGTCGGTGTTCATGCCTGTCGCCGTGCACAAGTTGGACCAGAGACAACTGTGCTGATCTTGGGAGCAGGGCCCATCGGCCTCATCACCTTGCTGGCTGCCCGTGCATTTGGAGCCCCTCGAGTTGTGATGACTGATGTCGACGAGAGCCGGTTGGCCATTGCCAAGAGCCTCGGTGCTGATGAGCTCATTCAAGTCTCAACTGAAATGAAGGTCTGATCCATATTAGAAAGCCATATAAGTTCGTTTCTTCAACATGTATGGCGACTAATGTGCCAAGTGAATGTGTTTGACAGGATGCTAGTGAGGAAGTGGTGAACGTGCAAACTGCAATGGGTTCAGGGATAGATGTGACATTTGACTGTGTTGGGTACAACAAGACCATGACTACAGCTCTGAATGCGACTCGTTCTGGTGGCAAAGTTTGCCTCATTGGTTTAGCTCTGAGTGAGATGACCATTCCACTCACACCAGCTGCTGCTAGGTAATCAGCCATTATTACTTTGATAACTAACATCCTGACACTATTGGATACAAAAGGGATGGCTGCTGAAAGAAGCTCGTTGTTATGGTGTTGCAGGGAAGTAGATGTGATTGGGATATTCCGATACCGGAACACATGGCCGCTCTGCCTCGATTTCTTGAAGACAGGCAAGATTGATGTGAAGCCACTGATTACTCACAGGTTTAAGTTCACTCAGGAGGATGTAGATGCTGCTTTCGAGACTAGTGCTCGTGGTGGGAATGCCATCAAATGCATGTTTAATCTCTAAGCAAATCGATTTATGGGTGTAGGCTGGGTTTAGGGCTCGAGCTATTGCCGAGATTTCTCCTCTGGTATGTTTCTGAGATCGGGGTGGTATGTGAGGAAAGCTAAATCCAAAAAAGTCTTGTACCCAGTCGCTAAACAATAAAGATGCCTCCTCGGGCAAATCATTTCCACATTTTCTTTATGCTACAAAAGCCAAGAACTCAATATGTCCGACGAGCACTAAAATGATGCCATGAACCGGCAAAAACAGGGGATGCATCTAACCAGTACTTGAAGCTTTAAGGTCTACATCTAACCATTGGTGAACCAAATAAAAAAAAAAACCAGAAGATGATCAGAGGCGAGTAATGAAATCACTAGGAGAAAACTGTGAAAAAGAGTGAAAGTTATGGACTTTACTTGCGCCTGCCTCCTCCAAAACCGCCAGAAGAGCTGGTATCATGGTGGCCATTGGGCGGCTCATCTACAGCAATGCCGTCAGTGGAGCAAACGCTGGAGCCGCAAAGTTGAGAGTAACTCCAGTCTCACCAACCGACAACTTGGTCCATCGAGAAAAGGAGAGTCGTTTGAAATGAGTGAACCAATGCTTGCTTACTAGTAACTGCAATTATTGATCAAAAGTTAGCACATTTACAACACCAATCTTTAGGAATGACTATATTCCAAATGAGTTGAAGCCAAAGCACCCTGTGATAGACCTAACAATACGGATTTTGTCATCTACCCCCTAGTACAAAGTTAGGGCCGGGTGTGCAATCAATGCAAGAGAAAATGGACCCGTCGGTCGCCAACAATCTAGATTTTGTCGTCTACCTCTTATTGCAAAGTTGGGGTCAGGTGGGCTACTGAAAAAGACGGTAAAAGGACAATCCAGTGGATCTTTGATGTACCTGTGAGCTGTGACAGTGGAAGAACAATCACTGCAAGAGAAAATGGACCCGTCCATTCGCTAACCAATGTTACAGTTGCCCCTCCCAATCCTCAGGACCAAAAGATTGTGGCTTTCCTCCAATCTCACAGCAATTTCAACAAGGCTGGATGGTCCTGCCTTGTGCTGTGGCTGCCCAAGCGAGGCCAAATTGATCGAACCATCTTGATAGCTGCCGGTGACGTGGAAGATGGCGAGCTCTAATATTACTTCCCACAAACAGTGCTGCTCAGTTGGTCGTCTCATGAAAACAACACAAGATCATTTTACAGAAGAATCTACAGTGTCCGTATGATGAGAATGACCAGACCCATCTCCATCATTCCCTTCAATGGAGCTCCAACCAGAAGGCTTCCCCACAGTTCTTTCCCCCATTAATTTCCTCACTTGGTCAGCATCTTCCCACCTGTCTGAACTTGCATAAGCGTTCGATAAGAAAACGTAATTCCCACTGTTGAAAGGATCCAACTCGAGGAGCTTCTTCGTGACAATCTCAGCTAACCCTAAATTACTATGGAGCATACATGCACCTAACAAAATTCTCCATATCACAACATCTGGAACTATAGGCATTGTTTTTATAAACTCGTAAGCTCTCTCTAAGTTACCTGAGCGGCTCAAGAGATCCACAATACATCCATAATGTTTCATCTCTGGCTTTAGACCGTAGACCTTCTCCATGGTTTCAAGATATTCCAATCCTTTATCTACCTGTCCGGAGTGTTTGCAAGCGATTAAAATTCCAATGAAGGTACCGTGAGTTGGATGTATACCTTCTCTAAGCATTCTGGAGAAGATGTTAATTGCATCATCAGAAAGACCATTGACAGCTAGCCCAGAAATGATAGATGTCCACGAAACACCGTCCTTGTGTTTCATTCCATTAAACACATCAAGTGCTTTCTCAACTGCACCACACTTGCAGTACATATCTACTAAGGCATTACCTACAAAGACATCTTCTTTTATGCCGTGTTGACGAACATAGTCATGAATTGCCTGCCCAACATCAGCAGAGCCCAAGTGAGCACAGGCAGAGAGTACACTAGCTACTGTGATCTCATCAGGTTTTATATTAGCTCCCATCATATCTTGGAAAGTTTTGACTGCATCAGAAAATTGGTTAGCTTTACAATACCCTGTAATCATCGAAGTCCATGATATGACATCTCTTCTAGGGGTATCCTCGAAAATTTTCCTAGCAGCAACCAAGTTCCCTGACTTTACATAGGCCCTAATCATTGCATTCCAAGATACTGTATTCCTCGCTTGCATCCTGTCAAAAACTCCCCGAGCTAAATCCACTGAGCCACGCTGGCCATACATACCAATCAGAGCATTGCCTAAATAAGCATCAATATCTACTTTGTTGTGTTCAATGTACTTGACCATTAAATCTGCTGTATGCTGATCCTCTAAGTGAAGACAAGCCAATAAGGCTTTGACCATTGTCACAGCATCAGCCTTCACATTGGCTCCCTGCATCAAATAAAATATACCCAAAACCTCCTTAAACCTTTTGCATTCGGCATAAGCACAGATCAAAGAGTTCCAAGAAACCAAGTCTCTCTGCCCCATTCCATCGAACACCTTGCGTGCAGGCACGCAATCCCCCAAATAGCCATACATATGTATCAAAACATTTGACACAGACAAATCCGAATCACACCCAAGTTTCAAACAATGGGCATGAAACAATTGACCAAGCAAGACATCCCCAACACGACCGCACGACTTGAACAGGAAGATCATCGTCAGAGTATCCCCAACAATTCCCCGGCGATACATTTGGTTGACGAACATTTCAATCGCATCCATAGGTTGATAGAGCGCCAACCCCCGGATCAAGTGATTGAAAACTGGCCTCGTCGGGAACTGGATTTGGCTGAAGGCGAGACGGGCTTTGTCGAAATGAGACGGAGACAGAGCGTACCATTTGATAACGTCGGACATTGCGTGTGGGTCTGGTTGGAGTCGGAGTTTGATGAGTTGCGCGTGCTGCGCTTTGACCGAGTTGACGGGAGCTTGACCCTCCACGGCTCGCTTTAAGATATGCGAAGTGGGTCTTGACAGCTTCATCGGAAAGGAAAGACGGCCACGATTAAGCGCCAAATTCAAATCGAAAACCCATTGCCCTTTTCCCCACCAGCCCCGAAGTAATTCAATGGTGGGTAACCAGTGCGGCAGTACCCAGTGCTCTGAGCCTGAGGGTATAGTGTAGAAATCGTTGCTTCAGCGGGCGAACTCTGAAGTCCTGCGGCCTCGTATTTCCAACTTCCGGGAGGAATTCGCCAGCGAGTTGAGATTCGTCGGCTCTCGCTCAGGCGAGGCGAGATTCCAGTTGGGGACTGTGAAAGCTTAATTCAATCGTTTTACAGGCCCATTGAGGTCATATTGGGCCTGTATGGGTTCAAAACCTTACGAAGTCTGATGCATAAGTGAGAAGGCCTACCCTTTGTCCTAATGGCGCAGGCCGGTCACTGTTGGTCCATCAACAGCATGTCTGGCCTGTTACTTTTTTTACTGGGTTTCTCTCTCAATTTTTTATTCAAGGATTGTATCCGTCTATGTTCACATGTGGGTTTGCTTCAAGTATGGTTTGAACTTTGAAGGAGACACGAAAGAGATTATTGACAAGGTCAACGCTGGAGTCAATTTGGAGTTGTAAGGGTGGCACGGTGTTGGCACTTGGCAGAGATCAAGGGTCTCTAGGCTTGTCAATGGGTAGGCCTATTGGGTTTTTTGACCCAAATACCTTGACCCATATGGGTATTGGGTTTGGACCCAAATGTACCCAAATTTCTTTTTACTTTTTTTGGGTTGGGTTGGGTTTAGATTGGGTCCAGAATGGGCCTGTATATTTGGGCCGACCCAAATGGATCCATTTGGGTCCATTTGCTCCATTTTCATAACTGTTTCCTCATTACAATAATCAATCTAATATCATTAAATAAAATATTTATAATACTAACACTAATCAACAAAAGGAGAATTGTGCTTGCTTGACAAGGGAAGAAAAAAAAAACTATCCTGCCTAATTCCTCTTCTTCTATTATCTGCAACATCAAAAACCAACATATCACCCAAGCCAAGCTTGTATCACCAATCACCATGGACAAGCATGGTTCAATGCACGACAAAGCCAAGAAACCCTTGGCTGGAAGGAACACCTGAATCATGATCCGACTATTGTATATGTTTTTAAGACAACTAAGTCTGACAAATCCAATTAGAAGATGAACAAAAAATTCAACTCAATCTAAGAAACCACCTGATTCATACAAACCTAAACCACAAAAACAGAATGCTTCTTGGCACCGCTTCAATTGTCATGCTCCTCCCCATCTTCATCAAAATCTGCATCTTCTGCGTTCTCGTCGTCTATAGTTGCATGACTCAAATCATGAGTAACTTTGGACACACCTATGTCAAAATTGAAACCAATTAGTAACCAATGATATACAATGTTATACCTTTGATAAAAACATAAATCATATACCTTTGACCTCATTTAGTAACCAATTTTGAGAACACATCAATGCCTCGATAGCATTAGCGTCAAGTCGACTACGATGCGGACTCAACAATCTCCCACGTGTGCTAAAAGCAGATTCTGAAACAACTGTCGTCACGGGGATGGCTAGAATATCTCTTGCTATCAACCTCAAAGTTGGATACTTGAGCCCTTGATTCTTCCACCAAGCTAATATATCAAACTCATCACTTCTTGGTATCACCCCATCACTCAAATAAGTGTCAAATTCTGCTTTCACATTTGAAACTCTATGATCACCGCTTACAAACCTATCAAATCCAGCAAGAAAATCATCATCCACTTGTTGACTCGACCCAGAAAACATAGTTGTACCACTTGCAAACTCCTCATTAGGTTCTGAACTCTTGTACTGATTAAGCAAATCATAAACAATATCTTTAATCCTCTTCAGATGGTGTTCAGCCAAAACACCATAAATTGGTTCAAACGCCCATACCAAAATTTTCATCTTGTATCTAGGATCTAGAATTGCAGCAACTGCCATCATTCCATGAATGATATCCCAATAATCATCAAACTTCTCCAACATTCGTGATGCCATATTTGCAATATATGTATCAGGAGATAGCACCCATTGATTCAAAGAAACCTTTATCTCACAAACCTTGGGGAAAAAAATATTGGCAGTTGGATAGGTAGAACCTGAAAACACTTCTGTGATGTTGTAAAACAACTTTAACTTCTCACAAATCTTTTCTGCCATAATCCACTCATCTTCACTTGGCACAGTAGTATAACCTGAATCTCGTAGTCTCAACCGAGGAAAAACCTCTTTGTAATCCAAGGCAGTAGAAAGCATCACATAAGTAGAATTCCAACGAGTCCTACAATCAAGAGCTAATTCTTTTGATTCAATGTGTCTTTGACTCGCCAAAAGAGTGAAATTTTGTCGTCTTTTTGGCGAAGCAGTCCAATAGACAACACTATCACGCACTTTCTGAATACAAGTCTCGATCATAGATAATCCCTCATGAACTATCAAGTTTATAATATGTGCTGCACATCTCATATGAAAAAGAGAACCACCCAAGAGAAGTGAACTCGCTTGTAGCTTCTCTCCTAGAAGAGATCTAACCATTGCATCATTAGTACTACAGTTATCTAGAGTGATAGCCGATAGCTTGCTATCAATGTTCCAAGCAGTCATACACTCAAAAAGTACTTCACAGAGCACATCTTTTGTATGAGGAGAGGGAACATAGCAAAATCTCAAAATTCGATTCTGAAGACTCCATGAATCATCAATATAATGTGCGGTAACAACCATAAACCCACGTTTATTGTTGTTTGAGGTCCACATGTCTGTTGTAATGGCTACTCTACTACTGTTTCTCTCCAATTCCATCATAACATGAGTCCTCCCTTCCTTATAGATCTTCAAGATGTCACTTCTAACTGTGTTTCTTGAAATCATTTTGAATGCAGGTTGAAGAGAGCTTACAAACTTTCTTACACCAACATAATTAACCACAGCAAGTGGAAACCCATGCAAGATAATCATGTTAGCAAGATCCCTTCTACTATTCTCTTGGTCAAAGATATATGGGCTGGAACTTCTACTAGCACCTAACTTCTTTTTCAACAAGTTATACAAGTGCTTAATCTTAGGGCATCTTCGCAAGTGCTTGTCTAAATGAGTAGTTCCATGCACAGCTGAAAGCATTTTCTTGCAATGTTGACATTGAGCCTTTAACTCTCCTCTAAATAATACTTTTTTAAAGTATTTCCATACATGAGACCTCAATTGTTTACTGCCATTAGAAACTACTGTAGGAGCTTCACTATTGCTTTCACCAGAATCTGTATGAGAATTTTCAGGAGCCTCAGATAATTCAATAGTTTCATCTATTTCTGAAGCCATTTTCACTTAACCTGAATAACAGAAAATATTGTCATTTTGATAATCTCGTCATTAGTTTCAAATATCAAACTAAGAATCAATCTTGACACCATAAGCAAGACTCATAATCTCGCTCTCCCTCTCTAGTACCAGACACGAGACATAATCAAATATAATGTCAAATTTAACTTTACAGGCAGCAGTGCCATATGCCTATATGATAAGAACATAAAATTCACCATTTGCATCTGTTGGTAAACTTGCCAATCATGAATGGGAAGTATAAAGGATGCCCACAAACAACTATACTTTCAGGAAGCATAACAATGCCTCGGCAACAAGAATTAAAAAGAGAAAGTGAACCACATCCAGAGAGCTAATTAACACCCTGTTTCTACATTACAAGCACTGACACAGAACCAATATACAAAAAACCCAAAACCAAACCCAGAACCGAGCAAACAGAGAGGGGGCAAGATCTAGAAGAGAAGAAGATGGGGCAAACCTGGAGATCGAGACCAGCACGAGAAGGAGAAGCTGGCTGCGTCGGGGGCTCTGGGCCGATGGTCGCTGATCGAGATTTGGGATTGCAGGCCGGCGGGCGGCGGCGTCTTCGGGCTGATGGTCACTGATTGCAGGCGGTGTCTTCGAGATTTGGGATTGCAGGCGGGCGGCGGCGACGTCGGGGACTCGGGATACGATGGTGGAGAAGGAGAAGCAAAGCAATCGCTCTCGGTTAAGCGTATTAGGTCGAAGAGAACCGTTTGGGTTCTGTAGAGATTTGTTTTTTTTTTTATTAATTTTCTGGGCCTATCTTGGACCCAATTTAATTGGATGGGTATGGGTCTGCTCCAAAACAGAAAAACCCAAAACCTGATTTGACCCAAATTCTATTGGGTTTGGGTAAAACTCATACCCCAAGACCCATTTGACATGCCTAGGTCTCCTAGGTGGTCGTCATCAGCCGTGTGTTCGATTTGTTGGCATGTGTCCTGTTTAGGCCTAGAATGTACTAGGCGGTTTGTGCAGAACGAGTGAGGCGCCTGTTTAGGATGATGGGGGGACTCCAAGCTCCTACAAAACAAGGGTCCGTGGGCGGTCGCCCGGGACACTCTCCAATGCCTAAGTTAGAGAGAGAAATGAGAATTTATGTTTGTTTAGATAGAGAGAGTAGTAGTTGGTTACCATTAATGTCGATCCCGGTGTATTTATAGCCCCTCCTCTCGAGCATGGGGCATTAAATGCTATTGTCAGGCGGCCTATACGCACCTTACCTTTCCCGAACCGCCTACGGCGGGCATTTAATGCTTAGTCCTGCTGTATCCGAGGTAGGTATCCCCAGGAAGATCTTTCTTCTGACACCAACGGTCACTTGTGTCGGGCGGCCTAGTCCCCGTCTTGTCATAGGGCGGCCGCCTGCTGCTCCCCTTCTCCCATGCTCTTCCTCGGGTTCTCCACCGAGACCCTGACTCCTCCTTGGGCCTTGTTCGGCTATTCCCTCCTGGGCCTCAAGCCCACTGCTGCTCAACTATGGGCCCAACAATTGCCCTTTAGTCGGGAAAAGCTTCGGGTTTTGGCGGCTACTCATTGCCAATCTATAGTTGAGCGGTCCCATAGTTCTTTGGCACTTGCCCTTTGCCCCTGGCCGCCAAGAGACGAAGGGTTCCCCCATGCGGTCTATCGTCCATGTGCGTAGCCTTCCTGATGCTATCGCTTCACTTCGACTGAGGGTTTGCTTTCATTGTTCCCCCTCCTCATGTGGTAGTGAAGCACTAAGCGGTCCGCTGGGTTAACGTATTCCTAGCCCTGTTCGGGACACTCCATGCGGCTGACTCAGTCAAGATGGTTGACGCCACGACTGAGGATTTAAGCGCTTCTGCTATTTCCCCCTCCTCAAGGCGTGTCCGAGACCAGGCGGTCTTCAATTGCCGATGGCGTCTCACGCTTCGGAGTTCTATGCGGTTATTTATCCGGTCGATTCGGCTTCTGCGGGCCGTTGCGTCGTTTGCATGCTGCGCCACGTGTATGCTCTCGAAATCGGTGCA